CAATAGAAACTTCTAAAACTGAAAGGCACAGAGGAAAAAGACTGAAAAACAAAACCAAAAACAGGACAGAATATCTAAGAACTGTGGGACAACAACAACATACACGCAATGGGAATACCAGATGAAGAAGGTGAGAAAGGAACAGAAGAAACATTTAGAGATAATGACTGAGAACTTCCCTAAATTCATGACTGACACCAAACCATAGATCTAGGATGCTCAGAGATCACTATGCAGGATAACAAATGCAAAAAACAAACAAACAAAATCTCTGCACTTAGGCATATAGTTTTCAAACTACAAAAAATCAAAGACGAAAAAAAAAATTCTGAGAGAAGTCAGAGTTAAAAAACACGTTACCTACAGACGCACAAAGATAAGAACAGCATCTGACTTCTCCTTTAGAAACCATGCAAGAGAGAAGAGACTGGAGTAAAATATTTAAAGTGTTGAGAGGAAACAAAAAACACCAACTCAGAATTCTGTGCCTTGTGAAATTATCCTTCAAAAGTGAAGGGGAAATACAAACTTTCTCAGACAAACAAAAACTGAGGGAATCTGATGCAAGTAGACCTGCCTTACAAGAAATGTTAAAAGAAGTTCTTTAGAGAGACGGAAAATAATAGTCATGAGTCAGAAACTCAGGTCTACACAAAGAAAGGAAGAGCAGTGAAGAAACACTAAAACTAAAACTTCTATTTTTATCATTTTTAATTGCTCTAATAGCTAATTATTTGTTCAAAATAATAGCAATGATTTCAACTATATATTCTTATGTATATCTCTTATGTGTGGATAGATGCAGATATATGTGTGTGTGTGTATGCTTAAGTATATTTATATATAAGTGAAATAAATGACAACAATTATATGTGGGAAGAGAGGGAGGAATTAGGACTATTTTACTATTATAAGGTACTCACACTACTCAGGAAGCAGCACAACAGTATTTGAAAGTGGCTTGAGGTCTCTTAAAGCCACTGCTAATAAAAAAAGAAGTAGGCAAAGAAGTATATGTGATAAGCTAAGAAAAAAGAAAAAGGCTTGGAGCCTATAGCTCAACCGGCTAAGGCGCCAGCCACGTACACCTAAGGTGGCGGGTTCGCATCCAGCCTAGACTTGCCAAACAACAATGTCAACTACAACCAAAAAATAGCTGAGCAAGGGTGCCTGTGGTCCCAGCTACTTGGGAGGCGGAGGCAGGAGACTCGCTTGAGCCCTGGAGTTGGAGGTTGCTGTGAGCTGTAATGCCACGGCACTCTGCCCAGGGGGACAGCTTGAGGCACTGTCTCAAAAAAAAAAAAAAAAAGAAATTATAAAAAATGCACAGTTAAAATCACAAAAGGTGGAAAAAGAATGGAAGACAAAAATAAGAACAAAGACAACAAATAGAAAACAGTAAGAAATATGGCAGCTATTAATCCAACTATATCAATTATCATTTTGCATATCAGTGGCCTAAATGCACCAATTAAAAGACAGAAATTGACTGAACAGTGGCTCATGCCTGTAATCCTAGCCCTCTGGGAGGCCAAGGCAGGATGATCACTTGAGGTCAGGAGTTAGAGACCAGCCTGAGCAAGAGCAAGGCCTTGTAAAACTTACATCCACACAAAACCCTGCACATGACATTTAACACAGTTTTATTCATAATTGCCAAAACCTGGGAGCCACCACGATGTGTTCCAATAGGTGGAAGGATAAATAAACTATGGTACATCAGATAGTGAACTATTATTCAGCACTGAAAACATATGAACTATCAAGCCATGAAAAGACATGGAGGAAACTTAAATACATATTACTAAGCGAAAGAACCCCGTCTGAAAAAATTGATTACTGTACGATATTCTGAAAATGGGAAAGCTATGAGGACAGTGAAAAGATCAGTGGTTGCTAGGGGTTGTTTGGAGGTGGGGGAGGAATGAATAGGCAGAGCACAGGATTTTTAGAGCAGGGAAAATACTCTGTAAGATATCATAATGGCGGATACACGTCATACATTTATCCAAACCTATAGGATCTACAACACCAAGAGTTAGCCCTGATGTGTGTACTTTGGGTGATAATGTTGGGTCAATACAGGTTCATTGATTGTAACAAATATACCAGTCTGGTGGAGGGAAAGGCATATAGGAAATTTCAGTACCTTCCTCTCAATTTTGCTATGAGAAATGACTCTGAAAATATAAAGTCTTAAAAAAATCCAGGCCTTATAATGGTAAGATAAATACAATAGACCCTCTGCAAGTTGACCATCTAAGGGACTATGACAAACTGGTGAACATACAGAGGTAGTCCACATAAGAAAGTAGGCCTGATCCGCACATGTGGTGCATGCCTGGTGTGAGAAACTTAGGTCAACTTAGGGAGGTGGTCATTGTTGAAAGGTGGTCACCTGTGGAGGTTCTGCTATAGTTATAAAAATGGTCATGATGGTAAATTTTATGCTCTGTACAATTTTATGACAATAAAAATTAAAAATAAAATCTAAAACTTTAGAAGGAAAAATACCCCTGCAAGTAGAGTCAGACATCCCATCTCTTTTTTTTTTTTTGCAGTTTTTGGCCAGGCCTGGGTTTGAACCCACCACCTCCGGCATATGAGGCCAGTGCCCTACCCTTTTGAGCCACAGCCACCACTCAGGCATCCCATCTCTTAAAGACACAATGACCAGTGCGTGGTTGAGCCAAGGGAGGTGCTGACCCAGTCAGTGGCTGCCCCTTAATTGGAGTGAGTGGGTAGGAAAGACCAATAAGGTTGTGAGGTTGAGCTCAGAAGCCGCCAGCAACTGGGACAAGTATAGAGAGGCAGCCTATGGAGGGGGGGTCATTTCTGCTCCCATGGTCTGATCTGACAAGTAGCCCTTGTAGAAATGAATGGAGCCATGTTGGGGGGTGCACCTGTCTGTACTGGTGGGGGTGGAGGCATGTGCTAAGGAACAGAAGGAGAAAGGAGGATGGCTCAAGGGGCCTTGCAGATGAGGACCAGCTGTGATATGAACAAAAATGAGAGTGGCAAGCTTGGAGACCACCGAGGAGATCAGAATTGAAGGTGATTGCTTCTCATGCCTCAGAAGCAGTGGCTGGGAGTAAGCTCACCCTTGCAATGAGGAGTATTTTATCATTGGTAGTATTTAGAATTGATGGTGCATAGTGACATGCAAAAGCAGACTGACTTTTAGTAAAGTTTATTGTTTAAAAATGTTCTATAGATACTGACCCTTAATTGCTTGCATGTGGAGCAGACCATGCTCACCACCCTCCTCTTACTGATAAGGAGTCCCTGGAGGCTTTCCATATCTCTCTCCTAGGCCCTGGTGTCCAGGGATGGTTCACTGGTGTACATCAGTAATGACACATTCACCAGCAGTTATTACCTCTGCCAGGTGACAGCTCTTGTCTACCCAACTGCTCATGGAATCTGCCATTGCTCCAGAAAAGCACAATTCCAGAAGTAGGTGAAGCCCCAGGGAGTGAGAGGGTGGGTGTGTAAGTCAGCTTGTCACAGATCTGCAGGGGTCCTGTTGGCACTCTCCTTCATCAGCTGCCTCTCATCTTGACCTTCTCCAGAGGAGTGCCCTTGGCTGGGGGGCTGGGCAGGGCACCCCCATCCCCAGCCTTCCCTGCTTTATGTGTCATTCCTTCATAACCTGCAATGAATCCTATTTGTGCTCACCTAAGACCCGTAGGTCCCTTTTGGTGTTTGCGGTCATTGCCTATTTCTGAGGGTCCAGGCCCTCTTTGTATGTGCCTGGCTCACCACAACAGTCCTGGCCATGGCCTCTCTGCAGAGAGCTGGCGAAGTGAGGCTTCTAAAATGGAGATGGGTTGTGCTATTTCTCCACTTTAGTCTTTCCGAGTAAAGTCTGCGTTTCCGAGCAAAGCCTACCAAGCCCTTGTCACTCAGCCCTCTCTCTACTCCTCTGTCACAGCCTGTGCACCCATGTCCAGTCATGGGAATATTCTAGACAGGCCCATATGTGCTCTACCATTTCCCACCTCTGCCTTTGCCTGTGCTACTGCTCTGCGTGGGACAGCCCCTCTTCACCTCCACTCCATGTCTTTTCTTTTGCTGTCTAATTTCTGGTTTAATTCCCCAATAGCTCAGACATGCTCCGCTCCTGGAAGTCTTGTCTGAGCTCCCCATCCCACCTCAACGGAGCTGGTTAGGCATTCTTCCCCAACACACACTGAATTAGTAAAGAGAACTGTCTGTTTAAGCACAGCACCAGGTCTGGATCATCTCTGCATCCTCAGGACCTCACAAGTGTGCCTGGCACTGAGCAAGCATCCAGTGAAGGTTGGTTGAATAAATGAATGAATGCTGGATAAAGAGCCACCCAGATGATACCTTCCACCCCCAAGGTATCCTAGGGTTAAGAGAAAACATTTTAGGTGGAAGCCTTGCCCAATACTCACCTCCTGTCCTGTCACCACACATTTTGGATTAAATGTAGAATAGGATGGTTTGAGTAGCTAACAGTTGATAAAAAGCTATTATGTGATGGGCATAGTGTCTTGGGAAGGCAATGCCTGCTGCCAGAATGTTTGGAAGAAAAAGTAGTGTGCTTATCTCTAGAAAGGTTTCCTTAAAATATCACATCATTGCACACAATAGCTGAGTTAAATAAACTGTTTAGCTGAAGTTTTCATCCTGATTACAAATGAAGGGTGTTGTGCACACAATAGCTTGGAAAAAACCTCTAGGGACGTTGGGAGATTTTTGTTTGGGACAGATGTCTGCTTTATTAGGCATATGATTTTCAACAGTTTTATAAACCATTGTTCTCAACTCATAAACCTGGCTTATGATCCAAACAAAAAGTAATTTGTGGAGAGGAAAGAGAAGAAAATAAAAAAAGAACTAATGAAGGAGGGAGTTAGTTGTTCCCTACCACTTAGCTTTTGATAACAATTTGCTATATGTGCCCGTTTAAAAGAAGTATCTATGGGCCTCAAAATGCATAGAGTGAATGTGGTCTGCAAGGAGGGACTCACCTTTTTAAATTCTTGGGGTTCCTATAACGCTGAGAAGGAGAGAGTGAAGACAGGAAGGGCTGGTGAGAGGGAGGAGGAAGTACTGTAATGAAGTTGGGGCAGAATTCCTTGGGAACATAAAAAATAGAGGATGGAAATGCATGAGGCCAAGAACACACAGTTACCAAAATAATACCTGTTGTTGGCAACAATGTAGGAGAAACAGAAGTTCTCATGCGCTGCATGTGATTCTGTAAATGCCTACAGCCATCTCGGGAAACAGCTCATCATTACATAATAGCATTGAACCTGCTTGGTGGCCTGTGCTTCCACCTCTAGGTCCAGAGTTATCCAACATTTTTTTTTTTACTCTGCCACACATTAGAGGAATAAGCATTATCTTGGGCCACACATCAAATACACAAACACTAATGAAAGCTGACTAGCAAAAAAAAGTCTGTGCATATTTTTTGTGACATCTGACACCACGAATAAGCAAAAAAAAAAAAAAAAAAGTCCTCACAAAATCAGAGTGCAGCCTATGGACCACAGGCCCTGGTATACCCTGGAGAAACTCTAGAACACGTGTCCCCAGTGCCATGCACTATACAGGAGAGCAATAGCATTGTTCATCATACCACAGAAAGAAAAATTAAAAAGTGGTGGAAACAAGCCATAGGTCCATCAGCAGGAGAGTGGACAGCAAGCTGTGGATTCATACAGTGGACACAATACTATAGTGAACTACAGCAATATACGTTAACCACAAAAAAATAATGCAGAATTAAAAAAGCAAGTTACCACAGAGCTTAGGCATAACTATGATTTAATTTATGTAAACATGAAAAAATGACAGAGGTAAACAATGTATGATTTAAGGCTAAATAGATATTCATCAAAATTGTTATTAAAGTAAATATCCAGAGAATGATTATGAAAGGACTCAGAATAATGATTGCAAAGGTGTTAGTTGTATTTTATGCCTTAAAACCAGAATTCATCATTATTATTCCTTAAACTGTACAAATGATTAT